CCTGTGCCAGCTTTAAATTATGAGGAAAAGACTTGATTTCAAGGCAATGATTAAATAACGTGGTAAAGGTAGAGTTTAAGGAAGAAGAACCTGCCTTAAGACCCTTAGCAGGAATACCATCAACACCTACAGACTTTTTACAATCAAGCTTACAGATAATCTTTGCCACACTATCTGCATTGACTGGTTTAAAACTGTAGGAACTTTCCCCTTGTACTGTATATTATCGTTAATACTGCTGATGCTACTGTGGGTTTCTAGAGTTTGGTTATCCAGGGTGTTTCCAATACCATCAGCAGCATGTACAAAGTAATCATTGAAAATATCACAAATCTCCTTCTGGTTTGAAATAACCTGATCATTTTCACAGAGAATTGTAGTAACACCGTTTGATTTTACTTAGTTAGATAGAAAAGGCTTCACTGTGGGCCAGAAAACCTTAGACTTGGCATCACCTGCACATCTCTCGAAAAAATATTTTCTTATAGACTGCCTCCGCCTCTTAACCACCACATTTCTCTGTTTCCGGTACTTAGCCCAGTTTACATTACTCCTACATAGTTTGTACTTATTGAATAACATACGTTTTCTAAAAGCTGCTTTGCGGAGTTCACTGTTAAAATAAGGTGGCTTGATGAGTTTGGGTTTTTTCTCAACAATAGGGATATGGGCGTCCATCACCTCACGCAGTAAATACTCGTGTGCCCAATAAATATCATCCAAATCATCAAAGATAAAAGATACATGAAAAGGTGTAAAAGATAAATCACTGTTAAAAAATTTCTCATCGAAATTTTTAAAACTTCTGAACTTGACCTTTTGTTGTTTGACCTCCGGTACTGCACCCTTGATTACAGTTCCAATACTGTTGTGCCAATCACTTGTACCACAGCTAAAAATAAGTATTAAAACAAAATATTGAACTATAGGTAAGAATAACATAAACAAGAGAAGGTGTGCAGTCTTTTACAAAGCATGTTGCAGTTTTAACAAGATTAGTTAGGTCAAAAATATTACACAGATCATGGATAGGTCTACCTCTAAAGTGATGTTGTACATCACAATTTAAATCTCCTAAAATCAAAAGTTTGTCAAATTTGGTGGATATTTTGTCGAGACCTAATGTCATACTGTCAATAAAAACATCATCCTTAACAGACGGGGGTTTGTAGGAACCTACAATAGCCCATTTCTGCTCATCACTGTACATTCAATAACCAGGGACTCCGTATCACTGAATTCAAGGTCAGCCCTGCGTCGAGCTGGTAAATCAGTCCGTATATAGGCCAGAAGCCTGCCTCCATGAGCGTTTCTGTCTTTGCGAAAGGATCTGTATCCCGTGATGTCAAAACTGTTTTGTAAGAAAGTATTATCTAGTTTGGTCTCTCTTATAAACAGCAAATCACACAGATAGTCGTTTAGAATACCTGTTATGTCCACGAACTTGTTCCAGAAGCTGTTAATGTTCAGATAACAGACGATAATGTTGTCCTTGCAACGCAAGGATCATCCTATATTTCACTACAAATATATTGCTCAAGTATAAGCATCCACATACGGTCTAGGTGGCACTGACAATTGTTTTGTTTTCCAAAAAGCAACCAATCTTAAAATCTTCACGAGTAGCATGCAGAATGATTCTGAAATAATGTAAACGTCCTTCCCCTTAAGATAAAACTAGAGTCCTAATGATGTAGAGCCGAATGTCAAGAAATTACCGTTATTGCATGCAGACTGGTTTATGCTCCGACGGAAGTCGTATACAGCACCAAATATATATTTCTCGCTCTGACGTAATCTATGTCACGTGTACCCTTAACTCGAGTATCGGGATTACCAACGTGTATCTCACTTGCTGAAAATGAGCTTGTAAAGACACAGTCTCAGCTATTCCATTCATATGATTACAGATTATTTTCATCGACCACATCTTTAGACTTTAAATACATGCTCTCTATAGTTCAGTCGTTTTATCAGACTAATTAAAACAGAATAAATGTTTCGTTTATGCATCGATTGGTTACATAAGTATATAAGTATATACTCCAATCCGATTGGGGTAAAATGTTTTATAAGGGCATCGCATTGGAATCGTGCTGTTTGTCTGTCCGCACAATCTTTCGTTTCCGGAGATTATCTTGGAATCAAAAGCAAAATTATTTCTGAAATTTGACATGGTGACACACTGATATGTAGATGTGCAATAGGGGTTTAGAGTTCAAGGTCACTGTTACTAAAAATAGACTATGTGGAGGGTGTTACGGTCCTCATCTTGTAATCCAAAACAGTGTTTTAAAATTTGACATGGTGACACATTGTGATATATATGTAGATGTGTAACACGGGTTTGAAAAGTTTCTAAGGTCAAGGTCAAAGTTACTGATACTAAAAGTAGACAATGGCCAGGCACTTGGCAGGACCCTTGCTGTCATGCCAGTGTTTTATTTATTTCTGGTATCAAATAAATAAAAGAAAGGTCAAAATAGGTCTGTAACTATAGTGCTAACTGCCAATAACCAGATGTGGAATCTACAAAATTTTAGGACAGCTGACCGTACACTACACCCAATATTCCTTACAGAAAAGAAATGTTTGCAAGCTTGCCGCAATCAATTTATCGGTTGCAAGTAAAAGTTGTCAGAAGGCAAACAGTTCCAAACTGCTGCAAACTTTCGGCAAACGCATATCTGGGCCAGAATATTGCAGCAAACATCTCCATTCCTGCTGGACTTGAGAACTGGGCCCGTATTCATGAAGCCGTTCACATGCTCAAGTATGGATTTTGTGCTCAAGCCTAATTTCTTGTTCTGGTTGTAAAATAATAATACAATCTTATATTAACATTAATTTGGAAACAAATTGAAGAAACTTAAAGCCAAAAACTGTTTTCAATGTTAACATTTGACTTTTTGATCGTTTTACATGATTTAAGAAAGTTACAAGAAAACTGGTTTCAGCACAGAATCCATGCTTGAGCATGAGAATGTTTTCATGAATACGGGCCCAGGTCTGTGATTAGTCAGTTCTTTCGATTCAATTTTTTTGAGATCTAGATCAATCTAAATGGTCTATTGAGCGTTAGTTTGATGAAGGCTGAATATCTGCAAGAGGAGGAAATGCACATCTGCAGGTAAAGTTGTCATTATTTGTTTTTTAATTACCATGATGTGGAACATCAAAGTGCATCATTGGTCTAAATATCAAAGTCACCTTGTATGAATGGCTCTGTTGTGTGAATTATTTACATGGCATACTGCCAAACAAATTATATAAATGTATTACTGAAGTCTTTTTTAAAAACAAAAGCATAACTGACCTGAATACAAACAAAAACAGTAAATCGAAAGATTTTAGAATATCAGGTGCCTAATCTTAATCTAATCTTAATGACTTATCAAAAGCAAATCATTTTTTGTTTCTGTATTTTGTAATAAAAGTCTTCTATAGTAGAGATACATACAAGGCCAGACAGGAATTTGAACCCAGGACCCTCAAAACTCCAGACGGATGCTCTACCAACTTGGCTACCTGGTTGCCGACATTCTTCCCTCCTTTTTCTATGTCTTCGCCACTGAAAATACCATTATTTACTTTCCATGTTCAAGTATCCCCTAGCAAAGCAGTCACTCGGTTAATGAATCAAGGGTTGGTTTGTAACAACAGGAAGAGAAATGTACAGCCAGACTGGGATTCGAACCTAGGACCCTCCAAACTCTAGACAGACACTCTACCAATTGAACTACAAGGTCGCCGACAATTGACCCAGTAGTTTTATTTATATCATATAACTGGGCACATGATTTACAAGATGTGGTTATCTTTTCAAACTGTTTGTCAGATAACTAGTTTACATACCAAACTTATGATGCAGCACTAACTGAAACCCGTTAACTTTAGACACTTATTGACAAACTAGCATTCCTCACAATGGAAAATAAACAAGAGGCTGTCATCCATATCCAAATAAAACATAAAATGTTTGCCGAATTCAGCATCTGCAACATGCAATCAGTAGGTGAGCCTTTATAGAGTGATGATTCATGCAAGTATAATCTATGTATCACTTGAAGTAGGCGAGATATAGATGAGAGCAATTCTTCTAAACCTTACATGAAGCTAAAAGCAATTTTCCTTAACCAAGTCAATGAAGCGTAAAATATAGGTCAAAATCAGCATTGCAATGTGCATTCAGTAGATGAACTACAGAAGTTGAACCGAGCGTTAACATTGCAAATACTACACTTTTCAAATTTTGCAATCCAGGAATTGTAAATGCAATGTGTCAGAAAAAGTGTCCAATTTGTTTGCCGCGAAGCCACTGAAAAAACAATGAACACTATATGTACTCTATGCCAGAAATCTCCCTTCATCTTCTTAAAGGGAAGACTGTTAGAGTGGTTAACACTCCGGCCTTTCTTTACAGGCGGCGGGGGTTCGATTCCCGAAGTCGTTGTACGCATGGAATATTCAGAGAAAATGTTTTTCTCCTGCCAACACCCCAGATGGAGTATAAATTGGTCTGGGGTGGATGTTGTGGGATCTGTGCAGTAGCATTCAAGTTAAGGTGGCACTATAAATGGTTGGAAGCACGATCCCACTACAAACAGAACACATTACATCTCCAGCACACACACATAGAGAGATATTAGCCAGGTGGCATAGAACAAGAAGTAAGCAACTGATAAGGCAGCTCCTGTGAGCTCCTGTAAATTGTATTGATTAATGAAATGCTAATTGAATCTATTGTATATTTATGTACTGTAAAGCGCTTTAGAGTGACTTATGTTAGCTAGACAGGGCGCTATATCAAATGTTGTATATTATCAAAGGGAGATTACTCCAAGTCAAAAAGACTGAGCTGAACTTTTCTTTGCGCTTTAACTGATGCAGTACTATGGTACCTTTTACCTTAATACCAGTTTCTAGGTAGTGGTGTAGTAAATATTGTTACAGGTCAATTAACAACATGTAAACGAAAGAGATTAAAACAGATTGTTCAAATATAGACTTTTAATTAAACTTTAACTATATCATACATACCTAATAAAATATAACAGTGACACAAGAAAATTGCATTGATCACATTATGAATGTCATACATTTACTGATCAATGAAGGACAATGTTTGTTAAGGTTAAGAATTCAATGAAACTACAAAAGGTGTATACAAAAATAGTTCTTAAACCAGTATCATATATATATGTACCCTTACTTATCAATTTATAAATTAAATCAATTTCATTCAAGAATTTTTTAATTTGTTTTTAATCATTTTACTTATTTAAAATATTTGATAAAGAAATCAAAAGTAAGAATATGAATTCCTTGTACATGATAAAGTGATTCCTGAAAATTTGTGTAAATTATTTTTTCTTTCAATTGTAATATATTTGTACATTAACATAAGATTTTACTGCCGGTATTAGTATTGGATTTATAAGAGACTTTCAAACATCATTTCAAATATCTGATATTTGGCAAAACTACTGTCTAGTGACAAAGGCTAAGTTTGTTTTGAACACAAACAGGATTTGAAAACTTATTTAAAAAAAAAAAAAGTTTTATTTCAATTCCTGTTTGTGTTCAAAACTAACAGCCTTCCTTATTCATACCTAACTGATGAATCTTATTTTGAATGCTGTCTAGTAACTATAACAAGGTTTATAAATAAATTAAAGACAAGAAAAGCAGAAACAAGTAGTGATACAAACAAATCTTATTATTGAGGTGGGTAGTGTTATCAACAACGTATAATGACAAAACCTGTCAGATAAATTTCATTGACAAATAAAAAGAAATAATTTTGCTTGTTAAGAACTATCTTAATTGTTTGCTGCACCTGGACAAAATCCTATAACAATTTCTTTGGATTATAACATTAACCAGGAATCAATCTAGGCTTTAGGGGAACTCCATTTTTTGAAAAGGCAATTGTGTATTTTTTGATATTAATAAAGATGAAGGAATTCATTACATTTCCTGTAAGCATAACTGATAATGATACAATTATTTGTTAATATCTTTCAAACATATCATTTTCACTTTAAATGTATTCACAATTGATGTTTAAATACTGCCATTAATATTTTATGAATTCTTGGAAAAAAATATTATTCATCTAAACGTATCAAATACTGTATCTTTTGGTAACTTTAGTAGACTATTCCATTCATTATCTGGAGGAGTCCATTGTGGTTCACAGTGGTGAAAGGGTTAATAATCACTATATATTTAAACTGCCATGCAATATGCTTCCTGTGAAGGACCTTACCATAAAATATCAAACATTTGAATCATACTAATTAAATAATTTTATCTCAATTTTACTTTTTGAGATATATTGACAGCAATTCCTGTGAAATAATCTACCCAACCCAAGGACTCCAACATAAATCGCTTCTATCTGTGGTTGCATTTCATAACTCTTACTTATGTGCAATTTAATGATCAATTTCTACCTCTTGTAAAACAGGGAGTCCTTGGGTGGAAAGATATTTTAGAGAAACAGCCCTGTCAATCAAAATCAGTATCCATGAATGTTATTGATTTAACAAAGTAAAGTTTAAGTTACGAGCTGCCATCTTTAAAGATTGAGTTAACACTCAAGAACTGCTGATATCAGGACCCTGATGAGAAGAAGGTATGGTTGAGAGCTTCCTCTGCCGTTATCCTACTGGAAGGATTTAAGTCAAGAAGTTTGTGAAGAAGATCAAACACAGAGTCTGGAACACTGGCCCAGGACTGTAATACTTTCACCTCTTCCTGTGGATTGTGTTTGCTGCTTGAACGGTTCTGTCTACAACTCGGGCCAGTTCTCAGTTTATTACACAAGTTCTTCAAATTCAAAGCATGCGTTGGTGGATTGCACAGTAATTTTTTACCTGAAATAAGAATTGTTTGTTCAAAGTTTGCGTAGGTGATTTGCACAGTAATTGGTGACACTGAAACATTCATTCATGAAATTTCTGAAATATTTTATAATCTTTAGATGCAAAAAAAATAGCATTACAGAAATTGTGTAATGCATGATGTAAATGTAGATTGACAACACAAGAAATTGAATTCAAAAGTATATCTGGAATTTTGTGGGTTTTTTTTCCAAGTTCTGCAGGTTTTCATTCATTTCACATGCATTCATATTTTGGTTCCGTTCGTTCAATATTACACATGTACTACACTACATCAGTTCAGTACGACTGCATATTTTAAAAGCCATGTCCATGTTTAACCTTCAAGAACAAGACAAAAAAAGAAATATAAAGCCCATCGTGAAATATATAGATTAGTACAATGCACTTATTCATTTAATAGAGACATGCATGGTATTGCCTGGTATAAAAAAATTTATAAAAATGGATGTGCTTTTAAAAAAAACACAACAAAAAAATGGTCACTCTTCCAAAAATAGTTAATATGGAGATAGCCCTAAAATCCATTTCAACTGTTCAACACTTACCATATGTTGAAGCAGAGGCGACCACTTCCTCACTGCCCATGATGCTGATGATCTGGGCAAGGGCTGTAAGGTCGTCATTTGCTCTGAAGAAGGGATACCGGCCACTGAGGAGGGACAGGAATATCACCCCCGCTGACCATATGTCTACAGCTGCAACACGAAACAAACTTTTATAATATTTTAACGGTGTATTGTCGACAGATTTCCCTTCCTGAATTAAATATATTTTGTGTCAGAGTAAAAACATAGGTAAAACGTATGTGTAAAATTGATATTGATTTTAATAGATTCATGTAAAAAGAATTGACTGATACAGTGGTTTGGCAGTAGATATTTAAAAGATTCATGTAAAAACTAGAAAAATGTGTTTAAGACATGAATGCCCCCGTCCCACTTTGAACACGGGATGGGACGGACATGGGCAACACTATATGCCCCTCCCATTTTATGGCGAGGGCATAAAAAATTGACTGACATAGTGGTTTGGCAATAGACAAAGGAAATGAAAATTAAAATCAATCTTGAAGAAAAAAGAGAAGAAGGCAACCTATATATTTGTTGGTGGTATACAGGAGGTCGCAATTGAGGGGCATTATATAGTACATTGATGAATGTAACTGAAAATATGACAAAGGATCAGAAATAACAAAGGAATCTGATTAACCCTTTCACAACCGTAGACCATAATGGACTCATCCGAATCAATGCATGGTAGAGTCTACTAAAGTTACATAGGGGTGAAAGGATTAATACTACAACAGGAGTTTTGTGGAAAGAATTATACAGTATGTTTACCTGTGGATTGGTCTGGACACTTCATCAATACCTCGGGGGACCTGAAGCCTGGTGTACCAGCTCTCGGAGCTTGTTGATTACTTCTGATAATAAAACAAAGATCAAAGTATTAAAACAGAACAAGCTTTGATTTATTATTGCCTAGCAATACATCAAGTTTATATCAGGGTTATTTTAAAAGAACTATTTTGAAGTCTGGAGGAAAATTTAGGAAAATTTGGAAGCAGAGATCACAAATTCAAAGAATGAGTGGTGGATTTAGAAATTATAACTAGTTTTGAAAATTATACCAGCTAGAAATGAATGAGTCTGTAATCAAACTGAAACAATTGATATGAACAAAAATTTGCTATGCTTCTCAAATTCAGTTTTAGTTACTTTATAACAATATTTCAGCTAAGGTAATTTTGATGATGACAATTATTTACATTTATTCTTTGTTATTAAATCATGACAGTGACGGTCTGTGTTGGAGATGGAATCTCTATTCAGTATACAGTACTAGTATACTGTAATAAATATTTTATTGTTTAGGTGGGATGGAGGTTTGTTTACCCTCAGTTTTCAAATTCCCCTTGGGTACTATTATCACATCAGGTAAACAAGCCTTCACATCACCCTACTATACCTGATCAGCAAACAAAGATCAAAATCAGTATGCTCAAAGGTAACAAAACATCATATCTCCTGGCATCATTGCCATACAGTATCAAACATGTATATTTTTTTAATGCATTGCACTAGTAGTAGGGAGATATGAGAGTTTGTTTCCTAATGTAAATAATATATCGAGATGTAGAAACAATGAATGTATAAGACATGGGTATTTGGGTCTAAAATAATTAAAATCAACAAATGTTTTAACTCATTCACCCCTGAAGTTTCATAATGAACTATTCCAACCTTTGAATTGGAAGAGTTTAAATGAGTCTTCAGGGGTGAATGACTTACTCTAGACACACTAGGTCGAGAAGGTCAAAGGCTAACAGAGACTTTTTTATTCATGGCTTAAGGATTTTAAAGACTTTCAAGTACTTACCTCGCAGTACACAAGGTACACACTATAGGCTGTCCAAAACACTGACAGGTAGACAGCCCACCAGATGACTGACCCTGATGTGACAATCCAGTCCTGGTCAGATTTGTCTCCCTTTCCTTCACCATCAGGGCACGCTTTGCTAGCAGCATTCTGCGTGGAGATTTCACACGCTTTGTAAAGACTTTGTTGGCAATGTCAGGGGTAGGAGGAGTAAATTGTCGACATTTAATTGTCTGAGAGTGTTCTAGCTTAGTAAACCCTGGTGAAGGTGTCTGTCCGATTTTCTGGGTGAAATCTTGAATGTTCTACAAAGAAAATCAGATCTATATTATATTCTGATGATGCTCAAGTCTGGCAATGATTATCAAGGCTACAATCGTATTTGACAAGTACTTTAACTTTCTTAACCCTGGGGTACTTATAGTAGTCCTCTTCTCAATCTATCCCCTACCTAGTCAATTTGCATTGTGATTTCCACCGTCTGACCCTTCTCAAAAAGACTGGGACTAGCAACAAACTGTAAAACTTGTGTTAACTATATCTGTAAGCAAAAAGCTAACTCAAATAGTGACAAATACTACCCCACCTAACCATACATATGACGATGATGGTGAACTCTACCAGGTAATGAAGAAATGGAAATACTTGAAGGACTTCTGAGCAAGACTGTAATGCTCAACCTCTGCATTAGCAGTGATTTGTATGGCAGATATATACATATGATGCTGGTTTTTAAAGCCTATTAAGATTCATTGAAACTGGAAGTGATTGGTGAAATGAGCTGAGGCTGCAGTCTGACTAATTCAGTACACCTCATTTAATTGCAGGGGGTAACTTTCAACTAGTCCTGTGCACTGGTAGCTTAAACAAATTACCAAAACATTATTGCCTTATCCTCATCATCATATTTGAGTTATCAAGAAGCATTAACTCATTCACCCCTAAATTTCATAATGAACTTAAATGACCCTTTGAATTGGAAGAGTTCAAATGTGTCTTCAGGGGTGAATGCGCTAATAAAAACCCAGGAAAGATTTGTGCATATTTCTTTCTCGATCTTCTATCCTGTACTTAGATTTTTTTCACGTTTTGTTTGGTTGCCACACAATATAACCTTGATATACGACTGTTACCAGTTTTTATTTAATTCTAAGAAACAAAATTCAGCCTTTGCAAGTTAATTGGTTACCTGTAGGTTGATTTCTTGAGTGGGAGTGAGAACTTTTCGTTTGGACGGAGACAAAGAATTACTCCTACTGCTACTAATGGATGTGGATTGTGATACTTTGCGATGACTCGCTGCTAACTCAGCTTGTGATATTGGAGCTTTGTGAGCCAATCCAAAATCTACCAGTGCATACCTGAAATAAACGAAAATTTCCAACTGACATTGTAGCTTCTAGCATACATTTTGAGATTTTTTTATCATCACAATACTGGGGTGACAAATTCCATTAGTCCGACACCCGCTACCAGATTTTCAGCTTGGGTTAGTGAAATCTAGAGGTTTACTAGCCTGGGGCTAGTGACTTTATTATTTTTACACCCCTTCAGTATAGTAAAATTCTTGTTATCCTGTCATCCTTTGTAATGTAGTAAAAAGGATCAAATACTTTCATAAATTTAGAAATTACTGATTTCTCTTTACTTTTTATACTTATATTAACAATCAAAACGAAAATAGGGTTCTCCTTGTCAGGTACTGTTGATATACAGAATACTCGATAAAATTGTTAAATTTCATACCATTTGTGCAATGGTCAGTGGTTAATCTACAATTAGTATGTATGGTTCTGTGATGAATCAGATATAGCACTTATGCAATTATTTTGATGAAATTCAGAAAAGATTTTTTTTCAACAAAGAGCCCATCTAGTTGGAAAGAAATAGAACTATGAATTATTAGCAAGTACACCTGACAAACATCACCTCTAAAACTTAGTATTAAATTAATATCAGAATTGCATGTTCTTACTGTTTTGTTTTCTGGTCATACAAGAAGTTGCTTGGTTTCACGTCCCTATGAATGATATCAAACTGGTGAACTCGACGTAGGGCTAGTAGTAAGTTCCTCATGTAATCTCTCACCTCGGGCACACTCAGCGTCTGGACATAGTCCTGTATATCAAACAAACATAATCTAATAAAATTCACAAGCAGTGTTTTTTGGAAACATCCAGACCCGACACTCTTTGGGTTGTCAAAAAACTTGACAGTGATTTTCTGAAGATAATATCTAGTTAAAAGTTGTTTATATTCCTAGGAAATGAGTAAATGACATTAACAATTTATCCTTTCTACTTTAACATATATGCAGATGGTTTCAATTATATGGGAGACACGGTTTTCTATTGGTAGGATGCCGGGCTTGTGACCGAAGGATTGCAGGTTCATGTCACGGCACTGTCTTGTATCTTTGAGCAAGATACATTACTACGTTTGTCTTCTCAGCTTTAAATGAGCATGTGGTTGGGCAGTTCTAGAAATGTTAAATGCTAGCTATGAGCGCCAAAATGGCAGCACCGAGTACCGGCTGTATACTCCCTGGGTAGTGGAGAAAGATATTGGCAGGTTGCAAAGGCCCTATAACCACGAATAATAATTTGTGAACCGCTTTGTGACGACCTATGAACTGGGTTGTGATAAAACAGTATAGAAGACCCTTGAAGTATTATTATTATAATTACATACCTGGAATTTTTCATGTGGAAAGTAAGGCATAACAATGACAACATGGTCCTTGTTCCTGATACAGAGCTCCACTCCCATCACATTGTCACAGCCACTGGTGAAAAACATAAGTTACAATGGTAAATACAACGGTACTTTATATCCATGAGGTTAAGTTACTAGGGAAACAACACACATAAAATGGTAAAACAGTTGATTGCTAATGTAGGTCTTTCTATCAAAGTCCATGAGTTTAAGTCTGAATATATTTCTTGATAAATACTTTGAAAGAGCTAAAGATTTAGGAAGATCCCAGTTAAAATATCACTTACTGATCATGAAAGGTTAAATAGAATAGGCAATATTTTGTGAATTACCGGTGCCCTGGAACACAATGGTACCATCAATCCATGGAGTGAGGTTTTGTGTAGTTTTAATACATGTAAAGCTCGAATTTATATTACTTATTATTACAACTATATTTTGTTGCTTGCATAAAAATATCAGCAGTGTTTTCTCCAGAAGGAATAATTGTGTACACCCCCCTCTTAATTAAGAAATACTGTAACATCCCTTAACCCCACCCAACCATTTTTTTCAGACTTTGAGAAAAACCTGGTACCAGGTAGCCACGTCCACACTCATGTCATAATCACTCCTACTGATCAGAAAATATACCACTCATTGAATATTACAAATATTTATGGACCACTAACTAGAAAAGCAAGGACATTACACATAACTTTGTAATCATGCCTATATAGTATGGGCACTACTACCCTTCTAGTACCCATACTATTTCAGCTGTCTTTTAAAGGGACTATTTAGTCAAATAAAAACCTGAAAATCCAGTCTTTACTTGAAAATATATATCTCCTAACGAAAGTGAATATAGTTGACAATGACATGACCTGAAGCTAACGTCCAGTGTGGTCAGTTTCATTTTTTTTTATCTAACATTTTAATGCCTGTGCCTTCTACCCTTCCAGTACCCATACTAGTTCAGCTGTCTTTAACAAGGGGCGAGTTCTCCAGATCAGCTGGTTCTATCATAGCTCTGCAAATAGTCTTCGGTAATATTCAGGGACAAGGTTATCTGTGGAACCTGCTTATATTTACTAGTGCTAGTTACCCAATTTCTTGTAGACATTTGAGCTCGCCCTCAATCCGACTGGGATGGCTGGTTGGGATGATGTGTTTCAAAGCAAACAGCTGTTTCACTTCACTGTAGTGTTTCAGTTTGGCCAGGAAAACTGAACTAAATGTCCCTGTAAATGGATTCATAGTGTGAAAAATATTATGAGCATTTGAAAACCACAATGCCAAAATGATAGATCTTAGACACAGAAATTGAATAAGAATTAACATTAACTTGTTGTCCTTGTTGATTTTAGATTTTTTCATTAGTATAGATACTCAAGATTACAAACTGATGTCCGTCTTTCAAAAGAGACATTTTACTGTTTTTTAAATGTGGATGAGAGACAGCATTAAATTATTTCAGATGCAATAGAATTGGATCTTATTTTTTTTTACCACTGTGAAAAATATACAACAGTACTTACCTTCCCCTATTTTGTTTAGTACAACGAAGTGATCAGCAATTTCTGGTAAAAATTCATACATGCATCCTATTTCCTCTTGTACATCGACTGGAATAATTAAACACATTGAAATGAATATTTAACGTTAAAATTAACAGCCAGTCCTTTTTTAAATAGGCCCTCATTCATTTTCAAGGATCAATGAATACCTAGCTAGTCATGTAATTGCTAACACTAACATGCGGTAGTATGTATTGTATTGATGAAGATGTTGGTTATATTAAAGTTATCATTGTTAGTGCACACGTACGATCAATCTCTTGAGATATCAAACAGTGACCACAACAAATATATAGCAGCTGGATAACAGTTATTAATCATCAAATTGTCTAGACTTTCCCACCTTATCAATTCATCAATAATGACAGAGCAGCACAAACTGTGAACCATGCCATTTCTTCCTAAATCCTGTTTGCACTATATATATATTGGTTGTTTAACCATAAATTTCTTAAATCCAGTTCATCCACGGGGATTTTGTCCTCATTTGTCATGTTAAATGTTCTTAGTGATTATAACAAAAATACTTTGTTTTGTTTCATGCTCAATATTTTTGTTACTGGAAGAACACTGGTTGACCATTCATTTTCTAGATCTGTTGCAGTCATGATTTAAGGCATGCATGTATGAGTCTTAAATCATAAACAGATCTCGAAAATGAAAAATAAACGACCAGACCTGGATTTGAACTTGGAACCCACAGAAACTCTAAACAGATGCTCTACCATGGCCAGTAATGCTTGTACGTGGTTGCTGGAAAATGACCCAGTCCAACTTTGCTACATTGTTTCCTCTTTTAACATAATCTTCAAACCCAAACACCAACACTGAAGACTCGATACCACATCCTTCTTTGGGTATTTTTCAATAGGCGTAATGTAACCGGACAGGAAAAGTGCATGGCCAGAAAGGAATTTCAGGCCAGGACTTTAAACGGACGGTTTACCAATTGAGCTTACCTGGAATGACTCGGTCCATTACATACTTTTACATATAACTAACGGCTAAGAAGAGTTTAAGACTTTAACTAGGAGTATGTATAAGCCATTCACTACTATATATAAACTGGCTAGAAAAACGTTTTGTGTACTAACAGAATGTTCAAGGGCAAAACAACAAGTCATACAGTATAAGCCAGAATCAGAAATACCATCAGTATGTCTCAAAATTCAGTTAATGATAATTATGTTGAATGGCCATGGTGATATATTGATGTTAACCTGGTAGTGAGTCCAATGGAGGTGGAGATTTCTTCCTCTTTGGTGTACACCCATGGTCAGACAAGCTGTAGTCCTCTGGGCAAGCATGGACATCATCTGTGCTGCTCATGTTCGATGAACTAATGTACTTCAGACTTGTGAGCGGTTGGAAGTCACCAGCTAGACAACAAGTTGCTGCAGCTATAAACAATAACATTACCACACAATGATTAATCTGTTCATGTTATTACATAGGAATCATTTCCAGCAAACTTTTTCACCGACGATACTTGATCAATTTAAATCTGATACATACTCGACTCTGTGAACCAGTAGGCATGGTGGACGTAGTTTTACAGTGTAAATCTTAGAATCTATCTAGAGCAGCCATGCCCATGACATAGGTGAAATTAAATTATGAATGACTGGAACTATTTTCTTTAAATACATCGGGAAAATATCGTTTTTAAAAAGAAGGAATGTAACTTAAAGATAACGCAATTGATATAGTTTACTAAATATTGATGAACATAAGACCTCAATATTTTTTCCAAGAACTTACCAGACGAATTTCTTTTCGAGGGAAACAACAACACACCGAAACCAGCGCCAAATTCATGTGACCAATCAAAAACTAGTTCCTGTTTGGAGGTCGCATGCGCATGTTGATACGGAAGTGAAGAGCACATGTATGCATCGTCAACACTCAAACTGAATCATGGATGTTTTGGGCGCACAAAAACCCGTAAGTTTTGATCAGTGATTAAGAAAGCAAATCTATATATCATTATAGCGAATATGGTTGATTCACGAAGACACAATTTATGTATGTTAAGCACAAATAATACAACCACAGGCCCAATTCAACTGCAAGTTTACACGGGCGCGTCTAATTACCCAATACTACCCAATACCACCCAATACTACCCAATACCACCCAATACTACCCAATACTACCCCATACGATCCAGTTATGAACCAAATACTTCTTTATTACTGTGAAATATCACCTTTGTAGACGTTATTTACTTCCATCTGCCATATTTTATCGGGAAATATGCGATTTGGTGCCGAAAACAT